TCTGGGTAGACGTTGGCGAGGGGACAGTGGTAAGCCATCAATGAACTCGTTGAAAAATGGGGATGGTGATCTTGTGACTAACTTGCCTGGTCAGCCCGATGTGGACTTCCGCCACTATGCTGGCTATGTCACTGTGAATGAAAAGAATGGAAGAGCTCTCTTTTACTGGTTCTATGAGGCCACGACTCGCCCTGAAGAAAAACCATTGGTGCTGTGGCTTAATGGAGGTAAAAGCTTACATATTATGATCGTTTTTAATTATTTGGATATTCATGACGTTTAAAGCTTGTTACAAATTTCTTTTGGGGATTGACCGGAAAAAAGAAATTGACGTCTATTGGAGGAGCTTTTGCCGGAATTATGTGACAGGATTGAAGAAATTTTGATTTAACATGTTGTAGGGTTTTCTAAAACAAGCACCTTCCACTATTTTTTATGCCATTCGGATTCTGATCTAACCAATAGGGAAGAGAGAAGACCAACTACAAATTGCTCACTATTGATTTCAATATTGGCCGTTCCCTAGAGCGAACCTACCACTCTATATGGACAGACTTTTGCTAATAAAAAAATTAATTAATGGTGTCCTTTAAGGATGTATATGATCATCCCTTTTCCTTATCTCTTAATCGATGCCATTTTATTTTTAATCATTTGCAAGGCATCCAACTAAATCTCATTCAATTGCTCATGATAGTAGTTAATTTCTTATATTCAATGTTGTCTTCTAAGGTGACAAGATTTTTTATGTTTCAGGTCCCGGGTGTTCTTCTGTGGGATATGGAGCAACACAGGAGATTGGTCCTTTTATAGTGGACACTGACGGGCAGGGACTTAAATTTAATCCTTATTCATGGAATAAAGGTATTAGCTATTTATTTATTTTTTTTAGATTTTTCACACGTCATAAAGAATAGTGCATCTATGCTCTTGATTATTGTTCCCAATTACAAGATCAGTGATGCTTAGCATATAATAATTATTAGATTGTATTAACAATAATTCCTAATAATGTCCATGATGATGCAGAAGCCAACATGATATTCTTGGAGTCACCAATTGGAGTTGGTTTTTCTTACTCCAATACAATTAGTGATTACCATAATTTGGGAGATGACTTAACAGGTGAGCTTGCGCAGACTATGTATGAAAACTACTGTCCTTTCTCTGATGAGATAAATTAAAATTTTGAATCTAATGTTTTGCAATTTTTTTTTAGCAAATGATGCTTATACCTTTCTGCACAAGTGGTTCCTGAAGTTCCCATCATACAGAAAGAGAACCTTTTACATTGCCGGGGAGAGCTATGCAGGTATATATATTCAACCTTAGTAACCTTTTTGTTTTCAATTATATTGATTATTGAATTGCCATCTATACAATGTATATATATTTACAGGAAAATATGTCCCACAGCTAGCTGAGCTTATCAATGACAAGAACAATGACCCTTCCCTTCATATTGATCTCAAGGGTATTTTGGTATGTTGAAAAAAAAAATCTAAAAACAGTGCTACCGTATGTTTATGAATTCAGTAAAAAACAGTGCTAATTAACTGTTGTCTATAAAGTTGGGAAATCCTGAAACATCTTTTGCTGAGGACTGGAAAGGTCTGGTGGATTATGCTTGGAGCCACGCGGTGATTTCAGATGAAACACACGGAATAATCAGAAGAAGCTGTGATTTTGACAGCAATAATACATGGAGCAACGATGATTGTTGTGAAGCGGTGGATGAAGTACTCAAACAATACAAGGAGATTGATATCTATAGCCTCTACACCTCAGTTTGCTTCAGCAATTCGGCGGATTCAGATGACAAATCATTTCAAGTTATGATGTCCCGTACTTCTAACACGGTAAGCAAATCTTCATATTAATTCTCCAAATTTAGCCTCCCTTGAACTTTTACTATTGATACTCATGGATTTTGTTTTCTGCAGATGCCTAGGATCCTTGGTGGTTACGATCCATGCCTGGATGATTATGCAAAAGCTTTCTACAACAGACTGGATGTTCAAAAGGCCTTACATGTTAGTGATGGTCATCAGCTGAGGAACTGGAGCATCTGCAAGTAATTAGTGCCTAGATGATTTATGAATTATTCAACCTTGTATTCAATTGTGCTAACTGAGCTTTTTATTATACTTTTGTGGATGAAGTTATACTTTATTTCACAAGTGGTCATATTCGACTCCATCTGTTCTTCCTATATACACCAAGCTTATCCAAGCGGGACTTAAAATATGGGTTTACAGGTAAACATTCCCTTCTTCACATCAATTTTAATTTTTTTTAGAAAAATCTTGTGATAAAATATAATACAAAGCTTATTGACATAATTGCTTTGTTTTTGTTCGTTCAGTGGCGACACAGATGGAAGAGTTCCTGTACTATCCACAAGATACAGCTTAAATTCTCTGCGACTCCCCATCACCAAATCCTGGAGGCCATGGTATCACCAGAAGCAGGTTAATTTGATAGCCAAAAAATTAATGACAATGATATATGAACCAAAACATGAATTAGTATTCAGATTTAGTTTTATTGATGTCCGTGGATTATTTTTGGATCAGGTAAGCGGTTGGTATCAAGAATATGCAGGGCTTACATTTGCGACATTTAGAGGGGCGGGCCATGCAGTGCCGTGCTTCAAACCAAGTGAATCACTAGCACTCTTCTCATCCTTTTTACTTGGGGATTCTCTGCCTTCTGTACGAGGACAATAAATTAAAGCAAGTGCTCCAAACTCCAAAGGTTTTGTTGTAGAATGCAGAAAAAAAATTAGCAAATAATAAGAGCTCAAAAACGAGAGCTGTTCCTGTACGAAATTGCACTGCTTTCTTCCTTTCTTAATTTTGGCATCTGTATGGTTAAAAAAAAAAAAAATTTAGAGAGGAAATATTTAGATATGGAAGCTATCTCATGCTTTTAATTTTTCAAACAATTTTCTCTTGCTCTAAAACAAGTTTACAGGAAACTTAATTCTTAAAAGTTTTAATCACTTTACCAAGTTGATTAAACTTAGGAAGAATGGGTTAGCATGTTCCTTTGTGCGTTTTGTGTTGGCTTTTTAACATGAATATAAACAATGTATCAAAGACAAAAAATAAAGCACATAACACATTTTTACATGGTTTGACAACCTATCTACATCGATGAGACCACGTTTAGATAAAGCTAATCTACTATAATAAACATTTATACTTCAATTATAAAGGCAAAGTTAAACATCAGTTGCAAAATCACTACAAGAAAAAAAGCTTTTCTTAATAGAAAATTTGACAGAATTTCTTGACTGTTCTAAAAAATGGTTAAGAAATTTAATCCTGGCCAAATTCTTGACCGTTTATGAACTGTCAAAGATTTGAGATAATCCTTGATTGTTTTACCAAATCTCTAACTGTTATTAACTGTCAAGAATTTTGTAAAAATGAAGTTGTATAATTTCATTCCTTGACTGTTATAGGGGGTGTTTGTCTAAGCTTATAAGCTCGTCAAACTAGTTTATAAGCTCTCAAATTAAACTGATATGTTTGTTTATAACTTTTTTGAGCTTATAAGTTGAGTTTATAAGCCAAAAAAGCCAAAAAAAAAATAAGATGGGGGGAGGTACTTTTTTTTTTTTTTGGCTTATAAGCATTCTGCTTATAAGTTAGTTTGATCAAGTATATTACTACATTATCCTTATTTAATTTTAAAATTCTATAGTATACCTTTATTTAATGTAGTATATTTTTTAGTCATTTTATAATAAAATGTATTTATAAGCCACATTTTACCAAACACGTCAATTACTTATTAGTCACTTATAAATACTTTAATCAAACACGTAATTGCTTAAATTTCAAATGTTTATAAACTAATTTTAGCTTATAAACACTTATTGCTTATAAACTAATTTTCATAAGCTCAGACAAACACCCCTATCGTCTTAATCTTTGATAGTTTTTAACTTTTATTTTGTAAAAATAAAATTATTCTTTTAACGGTTATAATCTTAATCATTGTAGTGTTTAACGGGGAAGGATTAAGTTAAAAAAAAAAAAAAAAAAACTGAAATTTGCACTAAGACCGCCAAATTTCCGCCAAGGCAAATTGGTTTCCGCCAAAAACACAAAGTCTCACAAAAAACACATTTTCCATTAAGTCAAACCTAGGGTAAGAAAAAGCCCATTTCTTCCGCAAAAAACCCATTCTCGCCCAAGTCTCTTCCACTCAATCAGATCCCGTAAACCCTAATTCTTTCTTTGTCTTCTGCCACCTGACATTATCACATTATCACGTGAGATTTTTACACTATCCAGTGTGAGATTGAGAAGGACAGAATCAGGCAAGAAATAATTGCTGAAGAAAAAATACGTCGGCGAATGGTTGAAGAGGAAGTGAGGAGGGAGTTGATGATGGAAAGAGAGATGGCAATGCATAGAGAAGCCAAAATGGGGCTGTCAATTGAAGAAAGGCTCACAATGCGGCTTGATTCAAGGTTCTCATTCATGCACCAGTTCAACAATCGCTGGCTACAGGATCGGCTAGCATTTCCTGGGAATCGCAGCTTGGGACTGGGAATGGAGGTGTTACCTCCTGTCTTCCCACAGTTGGGGGATGCCATGACAGATGAGAATAAGATTGCCTTGGAGGTTGACAAGAAGGATAAGTTGATTATACTGGTCAGTGTTTGGTTTTGCTTAGAAAAAGTTAATTCATGCTTTTATGTTTTTGGTGTGAATTATTTTCTTTTCAATTTTGGTTGAAAAATGTATTTGTGTTTGTTTTGCTGGTGCTACTATTATGCTGTTGGGACAATCAGGCGCTTAAGTAGGAAGCATGTGTATGATATTGTTTAATGTAGCTCTTTTATTTCCTATTTCAAATATTTTGGGCTTACTGCAAATTTGGTCAATTTTCTTGGAGACTAGTACGCTCTAATAATTCCTTGGTAGAGTGTTTTCTTTCTCTGTTGACTGCGTGTTTCATGAGGCGAGATTTTGTTTTAGGTCCCGTAATAGGAAGCGTGCCATCAACAGGTTTACAATGTTTTATGGCTTTTCTTGTTTCTTCATGTAGCCTCTTAAATATTTATTCTCTTGATATTCTTTACTTTTACTTTTTATTCTGCGTTTATTTATGATTGGTTTGATGGTGATGTGGTGGATTTAGAAATGGATGAGGGTGGTCACGGGAATCTTGATCGAATCGGGCATTTGTTTGCTGATTTGATAACGTGGAGAGATGTTGCAAAGTCGAACCTTTGGTTTGGTCTGGGCTGTTTATGTTTCTTGTCTTCTTGTTTTACAAAAGGAGTTAGCTTTAGGTGTGTATTTCTAATTATCTCTACTGTCTTTTCATTTACATTCTGTTTTGTGTTTTGATTAATTAGATATCTAAATCTTTCCACTTCCATGATATAAGCATCTTTTCAGTGATTTCGCAACTTGGTCTTCTGTTCTTGGGTGCTTCATTCTTCTCAAATTCAATTTTGCAAAGGTACAAATCCAATTTGTCTTATCATGTTATCTTCACATACATTCTCTTTTGTTTTTCTTCTGAGTTTTGGAATTGGGAAATTTACAGAAATAATGATGAAAAGAAGCGTGAGTTTAAGGTCAAAGAAGAGGACATTTTGAGATTCGGTAGACTAATTCTTCCAGCCACCAACCTTGCAATTTCAAAGACAAGAGAGCTTTTCTCAGGAGAGCCATCAAAGATCCTCAAAGTAAGAACAAATATCACTGTTCATGCGTTTAAAGACTCTAACATGCCTATAATTTGCTTCTTATATGAGCTTTGTGATGCTTCTGGTTACAGGTAGTTCCATTTTTGCTTCTAGGAGCTGAGTATGGCCATATTATAACAATGCTGAGGCTTTTTGATCTTGGTATGATCACTACAATACTAATACCCATCTCATAATTTGCGGTTCTCAATGATTTTAGCTCCTGATGCAAATGTTCTTGTTGGTGCGAATTTGGGCAGGGTTTTTTTTATCAGTTTCACTTTCCCAAAACTTTACTCATGCTATTCTAATAGGATAAACCAAAAAGGTATGTGTTTTAAGTTACAACTCAGCAATATGATACTCTGATGATCTCTTTGATGAAATGTAACAAAAAAGAGTGAATATTACCTCATATTGGATACGGGGAAGAATCTCTTAGAACTCACTTCGTATTTAACATTGCAATTCATATGATTTCTTTGATATAAAATTGGAGGTGTGTAAAGCAAGAGTGAATTTATCAATGACTAATTTTCAGCATACTGTCTATCTCTGCTCGCGCTGTCTTAAATACAATTACGTTGTTGGTTGTCTCATCTTGGTCATAGTTTTTCCTTGGTTGATATGTCTCGTGCACAGAGGACTGAGCCTCAACATTTTTGCTAGTTGATCAAGAAGAGACAACTTCTAGTTAAGAAGAACATAAAGTTCTCTCAGTATGATTTGGCTTTTCTTTGAAAGCATATTTATGGCCTGAAATAGAATTTTATGTGTTCAAGAGTACAATATAGACTTAATGACATTGAAAATTATGCTATGTACTACCTTGTGAAAGTATCATTGGTGGTGGGGACCAATTCAATTATAATATTGTTTTATCTTTTGAATATTAATGCTTACTTTTGAATTAATTTTGTGTAGAGACCCATTCAATCGGGAAGCGTTGAATGTGGGTTTTATATAATGAGATATATGAGAGATATAGTTGATTAGTCTTATTGTGTTTACTTTTATAGTTCATGGGGAAAGAAATATACGAAGATGTAGAGGTCGATGAAGTTAGGGGAGAATGGGCGATGTACGTATCAAACTTTTTTAGTTATTGTTGTTTTAGTGATGTTAAAGGCTAATGAGGGCAAAAACTATGTATCAAACTTTTCATTACTAAAATAATTACTTTTTATTGTTGTTTATGCAATATTGTAAAATTTATACTGTTGTTCAATTTTGTTTACTCAGAGTAATAGTAATATATGTACCATTACTCAGAGTAATAGTAATATATGTACCATTCGATCAATTGTTTGATGTCTCATTATATATTGTTAAATGGTGATAATTGTTGGAAGGATAAATATTATGAAGCATTTCATTCGACTATTTTATAATTTAATTTGTAATTAAAGAAATTGTACTAATTTAAAAAAAAATAACAAAAGAAATACATGAGAGATATAGTTGAGAATGAGTTGACATTACTCAAAAACAATGTAATTTTTTTTTTTTTTTGAATAATAAAATATAGTTGATATTTGTTGATTAGTCTTATTGTGTTTACTTTATAGTTCATGGGGAAAGAAATAAACGAAGATGCAGAGGTCGAAGAAGTTAGAGGAGAATGAGTGATGTACGTATCAAACTTTTTTAGTTATTGTTGTTTTAGTGATGTTAAAAGCCAATGAGGGCAAAAACTATGTATCAAACTTTTCATTACTAAATTGATTATTTTCATTGTTGTTTATGCAATATTGTAAAATTTATACTGTTGTTCAATTTTGTTTACTCAAATAACAGTAATATATGTACCATTCGATCAATTGTTTGATGTCTTATTATATATTGTTAAATGGTGATAATTGTTGGAAGGATCAATATTATGAAGCATTTCATTCGATTATTCTATAATTTAATTCGTAATAATAAAGAAATTTTACTAATTCAAAAAAAATAACAAAAGAAATATTGACAGTGTGAAGACTGTCAACAATTTGGCTAAAATTCAAAAAAAAAAAAAAAAAAAAAAATCCTTGAAAATTCGGCTAAATCCTTGACGGTTCGATAAGTGTCAAGGATACCGTCAAGGATTTAGCTAACTATCAAGGATTTGGTTAAAATTCTACTAAACCCTTCACAGTTATTGAACTATTAAGGATCTGTTAAGAGGTCCTTGACAGTTCGAAAACTGTCATGACCATTCCTTGATAGGGCCTACAATGATAGTTCAAAAACTGTCATTGTATCCCTTTCTTGACAGGTAATACCTGTCAAGGAAGGGCTTTTTTCTTGTAGTGAACACTCCCTGTTATGACAATGCTTCAAACTTCACCCTTTGGTTGAACTTCGAACTACGACGCTAGCTTCACTCCATGAGACCACCTAGTCACCCTTGAGCTCCTCTCAAGGTTCAACCCCAAAGACATACTTCAGCTTTGTTAGCTTGAAATCCCATCAAGCATCATCTATGGAATACCCACGTTCTACCTATGAACAACACAACATAACAAGGTATTTGTAAGCCAACCTAAAGCATATGAAACCTGATTCAAAACAAAAGAAACCTCAAAGAATATGTAGAGAACTTTTAGAGGTATATTTAGGCTTGAAATAAAATGCATTGGAGAAGACGAATATAAAGAAACAAGCACACCAATGCAAGGGGACAGCTAGCCAACATGATTTTTTGTGTTTAGCCATTTTGGAAAATTTTTCACCAAACTTGCTATGGACCACAATAAAGCAAAAGGAATTTTTTGATCCACCTAATGAGCTAATTTCAAGTGTACTAGGATCGTGATAGACCTCCCATTAAAAATGTCTATCAATACAAAGGGCATAAAGGGCATTTGGGGTAGTAAGTCATTAGGAGTGTGAGGTGCATCTTTGTTGTGAGAATTGGTTATTACTGTTCAGGTGTTTGTGGGGAATCAAGTTGTTAGTGGAGGGAATATTTTAGTTAAGGAAATAGTATATATAGTGAGGTCAATTTTAGGGAAGGGCATGATAATTTCTATAGAGTCATTGAGGGAGGCCCCTAGCTCCTCGAATTGTTGGGAACTATTTGTTTGAGTTCTTACTGTGCAGTTACTTTCTCTAATTTCATTATCTAGAAATATAATCCACTTTATCCTTGATTTGGTGAAACTTTTTTCTCTGCTATTTTGGGTTGTTTATGCTATTTTGTGGTGATTGTTGCAGGGTGTCTCATCAAATTGGTATCAGAGCCTTGATTGGGTGATGGTTAAATCGAAGATGGAGAACAAAGTAGAAGGTTTGGAAAAGGAAATGGGGAACGTAGAGAAGGAAATGGGAAATGTGAAGGAAGAGCTAGGGAGCATCAAAGGCTACCTCCTTGAGCTTTGCGAATGGATGAGGTTGAAGGAAGAAAGGGATGCAAATCTAAGCTGCGATAAGGGAAAAACATCCAACAGTGGTGACAGCCCCGGGGGTGGGGGGTGGGGGCGCGGTCTATAGGAACAAGGAAGTACAGAATTCGAAGGATGAGAGGAAGGGGAAGAAGTTGGAGCTACCAATATTCAATGGGGAAAATCCTTATGGTTGGACATTCAGAGCTGACCGATATTTCTCAGTGAACCAATACGAAGAGAGAGAAAAGGTGGCAACGGCCGTTGTGTGTATGGAGGGTTGTGCCTTGAACTGGTATTAGTGGGTGAAGTCTAGGGCACCAATTAGTTCTTGGAAAGATTTTAAGTCTGCCGTGGTTGAGAGATTCAGACTGTCATTTAAAGGATCAGCTTATGAAGCTCTCGTAGTGCTGAAGCAGACTGGTACAGTAACAGAATACAGGGAGAACTTTGAAGCTCATGCGGCTCCCTTACGCGAGGTAGGAGAAGATCTCCTAATGGGGGTCTTTACGAATGGGCTAAAGGAGGAAGTAAGAGCTGAATTACGTTTAACTCAGCCCACTTCTCTTTTTGCGCTAATGGATCAAGCCTATCGCGTGGAGGAAAGAAACTGGGTTCTAGAAAAGAATAGACCCAGGTTTGCTAAGGCCCAAGTTAATAGAATAGACACTTATAGTTGGGTCACCCCAAGCCTAGAACCCAGGCGCCCAAACTCATGGGTAAATCCACCACGAAATCTAAAGTTAGGTTCGAATTTGTTACCAAATCGATTTCACGACAGAAGTTGCTAAGTCAAATCCATGACGCCAAACTTTCACGGTGAAACTTTTTGGCGAATGTCCGATGTTGAATTGCAACACAAGCAAGACAAAGGCCTCTGTTTTTGCTGCGATGACAAATTTGGGCCGAATCATAGATGCAGGAGCAAGTCGCTCTAGATCCTGTTAGTGACCGACGACGACGAAACGGAAAAAGATGAAGTCAGTCCTGAACCCATCTCGGAAGGTTTCAACGAAGGTAACCCATTGGCTTTATCTATGCATTCAATTGTAGGGGTAACCACAGATAAAACTCTAAAACTCAAAGGGATGATTGGTGATTGGAGGGGAGGAGGTGATTGTTTTGGTTGACAGTGAGGCTTCCCACAATTTTATTTTGCATGATTTGGTGCGAAAATTAGGTCGGGCAATTGAGAGAGGGAAATTGTTAGGGGTTATGATAGGGAATGGCTTTACGGTCCAAGGGGAGGATATTTACAGAGGAGTGAATTTGAGGATATAAGGGATTAAATTGAGGCGGGATTTTTTTCCATTTGAATTAGGAGGGGTAGATGTGGTGTTGGGAATTTCTTGGTTAAGTACACTGGGCGATGTGTGTGCCAATTGGAAAAATCTGACAATGACATTTATCAGTGAAGGGAAGAGGGTAATTTTACAAGAGGATCCTTCTTTAGTCAAGACGGTCGTGTCACTTAAAGCAATGCTAAAATTATGCAGAGAGAGGATGCTAGGTATGTGATTGAATTTTGTTCCATCGACATTAAAGGAGAGGAAACAAAGGAACCTGTTGATCTTGCAGTTGCTGTAGTTGTAGATGGATTTAGCCACCTGTTTGAATAGCCTACCAAGCTACCACCTAAAAGACCCACTGACCACGCAATAGTCATAGAAACTAATGCCAAACCCCCTAACATTCTCCCATACAAATAGTTATATTCCCAAAAAAAATGAAATAGAAAGGTTGGTGGGTGAGATGCTGGTGGCAAGAATTATATAACCCAGTACCAGTCCTTTTGCTAGCCCTGTGTTGTTGGTTAAGAAGAAAGATGGTAGTTGGCATTTTTGTGTCGATTACAGGGCACTCAATAACCTCACTATCCCAGACAAGTTCCTTATCCCCTCAATTGATGAATTGCTGGATGAGCTGTCAGAGGCAACAATTTTTACAAAGCTGGATCTGAAATCAGGTTACCACCAGATATGGATTAAGGAGGAGGATGTACCCAAAACAGCCTTTCGGACTCACGAAGGGCATTATGAATTCCTGTTTA